GATTAAGGGATGAGGGATAGGAGCCACAGGTCTGGAACCTTGCACTGAGGTTAGATATTGACCCGAGGAATCGATTGCGACCCTTATTTTGGCGATCAGACGAAGCCTTGGGGCACTTTTGACGCGCCCCGTCCTTTAAGGGACGATTAAGGGATGAGGGATAGGAGCCACAGGTCTTGAACCTTCGACTGAGGTTAGATATTGACCCGAGGAATCGATTGCGACCCTTATTTTGGCGATCAGACGAAGCCTTGGGGCACTTTTGACGCGCCCCGTCCTTTAAGGGACGATTAAGGGATGATGGGTAGGAGCCACAGGTCTGGAACCTTCGACTGAGGTTAGATATTGACCCGAGGAATCGATTGCGACCATTATTTTGGCGATCAGACGAAGCCTTGGGGCACTTTTGACGCGCCCCGTCCTTTAAGGGACGATTAAGGGACGAGGGATAGGAGCCACAGGTCTGGAACCTTCGACTGAGGTTAGATATTGACCCGAGGAATCGATTGCGACCATTATTTTGGCGATCAGACGAAGCCTTTGGGCACTTTTGACGCGCCCCGTCCTTTAAGGGACGATTAAGGGATGAGAGATAGGAGCCACAGGTCTGGAACCTTGGACTGAGGTTAGATATTGACCCGAGGAATCGATTCCGACCATTATTTTGGCGATCAGACGAAGCCTTGGGGCACTTTTGACGCGCCCCGTCCTTTAAGGGACGATTAAGGGATGAGGGATAGGAGCCACAGGTCTGGAACCTTGGACTGAGGTTAGAGATTGACCCGAGGAATCGATTGCGACCATTATTTTGGCGATCAGACGAAGCCTTGGGGCACTTTTGACGCGCCCCGTCCTTTAAGGGACGATTAAGGGATGAGGGATAGGAGCCACAGGTCTGGAACCTTCGACTGAGGTTAGATATTGACCCGAGGAATCGATTGCGACCATTATTTTGGCGATCAGACGAAGCCTTGGGGCACTTTTGACGCGCCCCGTCCTTTAAGGGACGATTAAGGGATGAGGGATAGGAGCCACAGGTCTGGAACGTTCGACTGAGGTTAGATATTGACCCGAGGAATCGATTGCGACCATTATTTTGGCGATCAGACGAAGCCTTGGGGCACTTTTGACGCGCCCCGTCCTTTAAGGGACGATTAAGGGATGAGGGATAGGAGCCACAGGTCTGGAACCTTCGACTGAGGTTAGATATTGACCCGAGGAATCGATTGCGACCATTATTTTGGCGATCAGACGAAGCCTTTGGGCACTTTTGACGCGCCCCGTCCTTTAAGGGACGATTAAGGGATGAGAGATAGGAGCCACAGGTCTGGAACCTTGGACTGAGGTTAGATATTGACCCGAGGAATCGATTGCGACCATTATTTTGGCGATCAGACGAAGCCTTGGGACACTTTTGACGCGCCCCGTCCTTTAAGGGACGATTAAGGGATGAGGGATAGGAGCCACAGGTCTGGAACCTTGGACTGAGGTTAGATATTGACCCGAGGAATCGATTGCGACCATTATTTTGGCGATCAGACGAAGCCTTGGGGCACTTTTGACGCGCCCCGTCCTTTAAGGGACGATTAAGGGATGAGGGATAGGAGCCACAGGTCTGGAACCTTCGACTGAGGTTAGATATTGACCCGAGGAATCGATTGCGACCATTATTTTGGCGATCAGACGAAGCCTTGGGGCACTTTTGACGCGCCCCGTCCTTTAAGGGACGATTAAGGGATGAGGGATAGGAGCCACAGGTCTGGAACCTTCGACTGAGGTTAGATATTGACCCGAGGAATCGATTGCGACCATTATTTTGGCGATCAGACGAAGCCTTGGGGCACTTTTGACGCGCCCCGTCCTTTAAGGGACGATTAAGGGACGAGGGATAGGAGCCACAGGTCTGGAACCTTGGACTGAGGTTAGATATTGACCCGAGGAATCGATTGCGACCATTATTTTGGCGATCACACGAAGCCTTGGGGCACTTTTGACGCGCCCCGTCCTTTAAGGGACGATTAAGGGATGAGGGATAGGAGCCACAGGTCTGGAACCTTGGACTGAGGTTAGATATTGACCCGAGGAATCGATTGCGACCACTATTTTGGCGATCAGACGAAGCCTTGGGGCACTTTTGACGCGCCCCGTCCTTTAAGGGACGATTAAGGGATGAGGGATAGGAGCCACAGGTCTGGAACGTTCGACTGAGGTTAGATATTGACCCGAGGAATCGATTGCGACCTCTATTTTGGCGATCAGACGAAGCCTTGGGGCACTTTTGACGCGCCCCGTCCTTTAAGGGACGATTAAGGGATGAGGGATAGGAGCCACAGGTCTGGAACGTTCGACTGAGGTTAGATATTGACCCGAGGAATCGATTGCGACCATTATTTTGGCGATCAGACGAAGCCTTGGGGCACTTTTGACGCGCCCCGTCCTTTAAGGGACGATTAGGGGATGAGGGATAGGAGCCACAGGTCTGGAACCTTCGACTGAGGTTAGATATTGACCCGAGGAATCGATTGCGACCATTATTTTGGCGATCAGACGAAGCCTTGGGGCACTTTTGACTCGCCCCGTCCTTTAAGGGACGATTAAGGGATGAGGGATAGGAGCCACAGGTCTGGAACCTTCGACTGAGGTTAGATATTGACCCGAGGAATCGATTGCGACCCTTATTTTGGCGATCAGACGAAGCCTTGGGGCACTTTTGACGCGCCCCGTCCTTTAAGGGACGATTAAGGGATGAGGGATAGGAGCCACAGGTCTGGAACGTTCGACTGAGGTTAGATATTGACCCGAGGAATCGATTGCGACCATTATTTTGGCGATCAGACGAAGCCTTGGGGCACTTTTGACGCGCCCCGTCCTTTAAGGGACGATTAAGGGATGAGGGATAGGAGCCACAGGTCTGGAACCTTGCACTGAGGTTAGATATTGACCCGAGGAATCGATTGCGACCCTTATTTTGGCGATCAGACGAAGCCTTGGGGCACTTTTGACGCGCCCCGTCCTTTAAGGGACGATTAAGGGATGAGGGATAGGAGCCACAGGTCTTGAACCTTGGACTGAGGCTAGATATTGACCCGAGGAATCGATTGCAACCCTTATTTTGGCGATCAGACGAAACCTTGGGGCACTTTTGACGCGCCCCGTCCTTTAAGGGACGATTAAGGGATGATGGATAGGAGCCACAGGTCTGGAACCTTCGACTGAGGTTAGATATTGACCCGAGGAATCGATTGCGACCATTATTTTGGCGATCAGACGAAGCCTTGGGGCACTTTTGACGCGCCCCGTCCTTTAAGGGACGATTAAGGGATGAGGGATAGGAGCCACAGGTCTGGAACCTTCGACTGAGGTTAGATATTGACCCGAGGAATCGATTGCGACCATTATTTTGGCGATCAGACGAAGCCTTTGGGCACTTTTGACGCGCCCCGTCATTTAAGGGACGATTAAGGGATGAGAGATAGGAGCCACAGGTCTGGAACCTTGGACTGAGGTTAGATATTGACCCGAGGAATCGATTGCGACCATTATTTTGGCGATCAGACGAAGCCTTGGGGCACTTTTGACGCGCCCCGTCCTTTAAGGGACGATTAAGGGATGAGGGATAGGAGCCACAGGTCTGGAACCTTGAACTGAGGTTAGATATTGACCCGAGGAATCGATTGCGACCATTATTTTGGCGATCAGACGAAGCCTTGGGGCACTTTTGACGCGCCCCGTCCTTTAAGGGACGATTGAGGGATGAGGGATAGGAGCCACAGGTCTGGAACCTTCGACTGAGGTTAGATATTGACCCGAGGAATCGATTGCGACCATTATTTTGGCGATCAGACGAAGTCTTGGGGCACTTTTGACGCGCCCCGTCCTTTAAGGGACGATTAAGGGATGAGGGATAGGAGCCACAGGTCTGGAACGTTCGACTGAGGTTAGATATTGACCCGAGGAATCGATTGCGACCATTATTTTGGCGATCAGACGAAGCCTTGGGGCACTTTTGACGCGCCCCGTCCTTTAAGGGGCGATTAAGGGACGAGGGATAGGAGCCACAGGTCTGGAACCTTGAACTGAGGTTAGATATTGACCCGAGGAATCGATTGCGACCATTATTTTGGCGATCAGACGAAGCCTTGGGGCACTTTTGACGCGCCCCGTCCTTTAAGGGACGATTAAGGGATGAAGGAAGGGAGCTAGGGCAAAATAAATGTCATATTCGTGTTCCCCGTCCCCCAATTGACCTGATGGCAGTTTTTGAAGCGATTCTGAATCCGACGCTGTATTCGTTGCTGTTGCTGACGCTAACTTCACGGACATGAGCTCATGGCAGAAAATATTCTTGTTCAACTAGCTTTATATCCAGTCTCCTTCTTAGTTATCAGACCTGACCCTTCAATGCATAGATACTGATACGCATAAGCTTAAATGGTAAAAATGTTAAGGTTTGGGACAAATGATCTTAAACTTCAGGCACAAATTGCGCTAAAATTTCTGAGCAAAATCACTTGTGCCAAATTTTAGCGCATTAGAGTCCCTAAGGCGTTCGGCATAGTGTATTGATTTTTTCAGTCTGGTTATCATGTGATACAATGTCTACCTCATTATCAAGTGTGGCAGCTACCTGGAAAGTACCTGAACTTGGGTCATTTTCCATTTGATTGCACTACAGCCGTCCGACAGTTTGCACTAGTGACATCATGGTAATCCTTGCTTAGGCCTAATGAGCATACCTACCTACTCTATACAGCCTTGGTAAGTCTGCACCTTGCAACACGCCAGCTACGTGCCCTCACACTGATAGTAGCATCAAAATTGCCATGCTGATGCTTCGAAATTGAGTATGGCAAGCATTGTTTTTTTCATTTTTGATACTAATAGGTAGGCGACAGCTATTTGGAAAATCTAACACAATTTGCCCTGAATTTTTGACACAGGAATAGATAGAACATTAAACTTAGCCAAATAATTTAATCTGGTGAAAAAGCAACACTTACCCCGTTGAGTACGGTATGAGCTCCGTTAGACTTGATATGCCCATTTTGAACAGGAGTTACCTCCAGCGCGTTTCTTTTTTGCTCCGCCGTCATTGTTGCGGACCTCTGCAGCAGTCAGTCGACAGTTTCGACACCGACCCACCACGCCCACCTGCCAGAATCAACGCAACCGCCAACCAGCCCGACTGCAGCCACGCGGCCAAACGCGCGGCAAGTGGCCGAGTAAACTAAACGATTCCTTCCACGTCCTATCATTTCTATTCGTTTCAGTATGAAACCAGAGTTTCTCGGTTCTATGACGTCATTATGAAACATTTCAGCCAGATTCGATTTCTTGTTGAAACTTTGTTTTTGTTGCTTGAAATTATAAAAACGAATGCCTTTCAAGCTATGATAATGCATAAAAATATTTGTATGTGCAAGAAAATTGTCGTTTCTGTTTGAGAAATTTGCGCGTCTTCTTTTTGCCTTGCTACTGCTTATCAAAGGTGAAAGGTTTGCAGTGCAATCACAATCTCACTTCATAAATGTGAAAAAGAAGGAAAAATTGGCGAGATTGGATAATTTTTGCAAGTTGTTAATTATAGTTTTGCTGTATTTTGTGTTACATAAGGAACATATGAATATAATACTCAGATAAGTTCTCACACGTCATATATCTCACGTGTGATTCTTTTCACCCTATCAAAGTGCTGCGTTCGTTTTGTGACAACAGCGCAACAAGTATATGAGGCTTGGCGCTACCAAATGAAGGGATTCTCTTCAAATGTTTTTCATATTAGTAACTAAAGTAATCTTGGTTTTCAGAAATACAGCCAAGGCCATCTATAGAAGGTACAGTCACTCCCCCGCCGACCAATCAGAGACAGATCCTGAGTGACGTCACCCCTGATGCTCGCAAGGGGTACTCCATTCATTTACAACGTAAAAATGACTAACTTCATTTGATGATTGTTGGTGACACTCCACACATATCGCTCAATTGTTGATGTCATTGGGAAGTTCAGCTAATTTTCTAGCGATAAAAAAGAGCAGCAATATGCTAAGAAATGGCCGGTTTTGAAGATATAGACGATTTAAAAATCCTCTGCAGTTGCAGGAAAGCAACGCAAAAACGCATTGAGCTTACATTTTTACTATGAATAAATCATTTTTCAGTAAGTTTCTAGATATGGTATCGATTTATTCAACAATTTTATTACAATATTTTTATTACTTGGAACTTTATTTCAAAATAATATTTTCAAAAATGGCAACTCTTGGCAAGTAGCTTTGAAGCGATTGTGGCGCACCGCACCATTATTGTCCTGAGGCCCCCTTATGATGTCATCAAAAGTGGAGTGACATGGGCCTGAATACAGCAGTAACTTACAATAAGGCAAGTAGGGATTAGGTGTTTGATCCTGATTCCTGAATGATGCATTTGCATTTATTTTCATGGAATGCGATTTTAAGATATGAAACCGAATCTCAAGACTCAAACTCAGTCGGTGCAGGTCGCAGGAGACAGAACCATGGGTGTCGTTTTGTATAGGCTTGGTAGGGCCCGAGCCCTAGCAAAAATTTCATAATTTTAACATTAAAGGGACCCTCCCACCTTCAAAAAAGTTTATGAATTGGCATGAAAGTGATGTCGCTCGGTTCAGAAAGAGCGAAAACGAATATCTACCAAATTTCACCGAAAAATATTCACCGGTTTTCAAGATATTAGGCTTTTACTTTTGTTTACTTTTTTGGGATCTCCGCTGTTTCTAGCGACTTTATTTTAGAAGTGCGGCGTTTGCGGCAGATGTTGCGCGCAAATAGCATATACCACCGCGTGCTACAAAACGTTTTAGTCAAACATTTAAAAATCGTTAGATATTTGCGCTGACGTCACACATTCAGAGGGGTATTCCTAAGCATTAGCCCCTCTGAATCAAAATGCTGCAATTTTGAAATTCAATATTTCCGATTTAAGGCATTTCTCGATGTTGTGAGTGCCGAAACCGGTAATTGTGAGCCAGGGACCCCATTTTGGCTATCTCAACTCAAATCTAATGTTAAGGTGGGAGGGTCCCTTTAACCCTATGGCGGTGCATGGTAAGAATGGCTTTGGTATCCCGAAATTAACCATTAAAGCCCTACCAATAAATTTCGTAAAGTGACGCCCGAGGACAGAACCGTGAGAGAGAGAGAGGGAGAGAGAGAGAGAGAGAGAGAGAGAGAGAGAGAGAGAGAGAGAGAGAGAGAGAGAGAGAGAGAGAGAGAGAGAGAGAGAGAGAGAGAGAGAGAGAGAGAGAGAGAGAGAGAGAGAGAGATAGAGACCAAGCGTCCTCTGTTTACACAACATACTTACCGGTAACCGGACAAAAGATCGTTAAGCAGAAGATCGTAAGGCAGAAGATCGTAGGAAGTTGATCGTATACAAAATATCGTAATGGATAAAGATCGAACGACATAATGCTCATTTGGACAAAATATTGTATTCGCTAAAGATCGTCTTTTGTCACGTAAGCCTGTCATTTCATACAGCTAAATAAATGTGGTGAAACGCGTCCACCCGAATGTGTTGTACCTACCTACGATGCGTCTCATAATTTTGTCTATTGTTACGCAACAGTCAACAGTAGGTAGGTACCTATATCATATTGATACGAGTCAAGTCACACACCAACCTGTTACAAAATGACGCCGTAAGATGCAGATGTGAGTGCATGGTGTATCCTGTCAACTGAGAGCCACTGCCTTCAGTGCACAGTGTGCCACAATCCGACGGATGCACGAGAGGCTACAAAACAAAGATGGGCCACTGGTAGACAGAACCACGACCTGCTGTCAGTTAACAAATCATTGGACATTGCTCCTTCCGTGCACGTGGTATGTGGCAGCCGCGGTTTTATTGGCTCAGAACATGTGAGATATGGATTGTGGGAGACGGGAGTAAGATTTCACAAGCCGAACCATTTAGAACAAACCATAGAGATCTTATAAAAATATAAAGATGCATATAAGATCTCTATGCTTTAGACGCCCATCTATATTCCGCTAAGGTCATGTCAGGTCACTGACTTATAACGTCTTACGTAAGTTATGAAGGTCCTAGCTTGTCATGTCATGTCACCTAATAGGTATTCCAACAAACGACAATAAACGAAGCTAGCCTTGATCAAATCGAATCGTCGAATCGAATCGAATTGGGGATCGAATCGTCCTTGTGTTTCCGTAGTCAGTGCTGTGCTGACATGAGCGCCATTAGGTATGCTCCGAAAAATACCTAGCACAGAAATAGCCAGAGCCCTTGCTCAAGTAGGTACAGACATGCATGGTTTATGCGTCATCGCTGACCTAATGCTGAGCGCTGAGTAGCGCCCAGCGAAAGCCTGCATCGGCCTTCCTGCATCCTGGAGTGGATACCCCACCGTCTTCCCCAGACGTTCCTATAAACGATGTGACCTGTGAGCCAGTCAGTAATGCATTACAGAATCTGACTTGGCTCCAATAATTGTTCGCAATGTCTTAGTACAATGTAGGTATTATCCTTTCACTGGGTCTGCTCTAATGGTGCGAGTGGACATGGTGCCAGTTCACTGGGTCTGCTTGTGTTCTACGTACTCGTATAATGCGCATTAACTCTGGTTTCTACACATTATTTTTTTTATCAGCGAGCTAATGCTAATCGTCTGTCATCAGACATACGAGGCTAATGGTAATGATGGAATGCTAGCGGCTTGTTCCGCGCATTGATGTTTATTCTGCCTCAGACAGCTTCTAGTCTGTTGGTAATAGCCACGTGAATGCTTTTTAAATCGGGCTAGTCTGGTTTATGTAGTTTTCAACCATAGAAATACGTTGCAGCGGAACTGTGTGTGCCAAACTGTGCTGGCACTGCTGGCACACCTCGCTATTTGGTCTTTCAATACCTAAACATCAGACACACAATCAGAACTTGATGTTCATCCCGACTTCATGTATTTATGGGACCCGATCCAAGCTACCTATAACCCATACAATACACTGTACGTACATTCAGTGGATGTTCAAGGCATCCTACTGCGTGTTTTTTCAGACTTGCTTTATCTATACCAGAGAAAACAAGGAAGAAAACAATGTGCGTTGTTGGACGGTCAATCCACCCTATGAAATGCAGTGCATTTAAATGTTAAACTACGAGTTCACTGCCTGATTTATTCCACGACCTAAACAGTAGGTAAACATGCAAGTAAGTACTGATAAGTTACGACTTACGATTAACCCTCGCCGGCCGAGGGGGGGGGGGGCGGGTGCCGCCCCCCCATAGGGTTTTTTCGCGATAGCTCCGAACACGCTGGCGATAGAGAGCTGAAACTTGGCATACCTGACCTTTGATCCAAGCCGGATCTTTTGACACCAACCGCATTTTTGGGTCAGGTCAGGTCACTGACCTATGACGTCATAAGTGAACCTCTGCACGGTCTTCAGATGTCGCAACTTCGCAACGCCCTCACTGCCAGAGGAGATGTCACAGGGAAATGAAACTTGCAGGATCTAGTATCCATTATGAGTCCCACGACTTGTATATCTCGGATTTTTCCTAAAGGTCATATGAGGTCAGGTCATTTTCGTGACCTCACCATTATAAGTCAATGGGGAAAAATGAAAACTGCTATTCTGGCGCCGGGAACGATCTCCAACTATCTCAAGCACACAGAATCGTGATTTGATGCACTCCTTGCAAGGTTAGATGCGTCACTTTTGCAATGTTGACCTTGCGTGACGTCATTTATGACGTCATCAAGGTCATATTAGTTTTTCGTCAATAACTCTTGATCAAATTGAGCTAGCGAGTCGGGAAAGCCACCAATGGACTCAGGAAGACCTGCCGAATCGAATGATATGCGACATGACCTCTTTCGACCAACTTCGTGACCTGGGGGTGCTGACCTGACCTTGACCTGAGGTCAACACCCCAAGTTGACCTGACCTGGACAAAAAGTATATCATTCGACGCGCCTGAGCGAGACGAACACGATGCTGCCAAAATCGGCGCTCTGCGGCCGTTTTTTGCGAAGTTATTCACCAAAAACTGAACCGTACCTTGGGGCACTTGACCTGACCTCAGAGGTCACCGGTTGACCTAGGACCTTAAAATCGGGTACCAATCTCTGCGTCTCGTAACGGCGCACACGCTCGTTTTTTCCGCGACGCGCTAGCTCCACCAGGGGCGAAACGGCGAGGGGGGTCGTACCCGCCCCCCCCCCCCCCCTCGGCCGGCGCGTATGTAGAAAACCAATAGG